TCCCGAAAATGAATCATTTTACATGATCCAGTAGAACCCCGAAACTTATTTGCCGAACCGAATTCAAGAAGTGAAAGTTTCAGCGCATTCTATACATGTGGCTAGTTGCATGTGACTTGTCTTCTGACATTCATTTGCAGACATCTCAATCTCCAAACGGCGCAGCGGTTAGTGAACTCCCCAATGAAGCGTCTAACCTTCCAGAACTTTTGTGTTTGACCTCATTTAGCCGTCTGCCCTGTTCCATTCCACCGGGCCCGGCTGACACCGTTTCCTCCTCCGTGTGTTCCATTTAGCAGCTCGAGCGACGCTTCAAGTTTTAACTGTGCGGTTGAAAATGGAGGTCCACAATTCTTGCGAATACACAGGAGAGATTTTAGGCTCAGAAACTGAAGTGTTTTTTACAGTTCGGAATGTGTTTTTGTCGGAGGGAACATCTGAAGCTAAATGGTCCAGAAGTTGTGAATTGGTCTTCCAAGTAACATAGGCTTGAAAGCACTTTCACTTCACTCACGTTTGAATTTCCGCAGATTCCGGCCTAAGGAAGGAGCGGCGGAGGAAAAAGAAAATCACCAACATCATTTCTTTCGACGACGATCTGGACGGAGGGGCTGAAGACGAGGAAGAGGGCGAGGACGACTTCCCCAAGACTCGTGGAATGAGCAAGAGGCAGACCGATCCCGTTCCAAGTAGCGTGGAGGATGGGATTGACCTCTTGGAGCCATTGTTCCATCCGTCACCTTCTCACAATGGGCTGGACGGCACCGCGACACCGACGTGGGTGGGGTCACCCCATCACTCTCGTACAACCCCGATGCCGACGCCTCCTTTGACAGACCGAAAGAGCATCGACAACGAGGAGGAGGAGGAGGAGGAAGAGGAGGAGGAGGAAGAGGAGGAAAAATACAAATGCAGAGCACAAATCCAAGACGACGAGAGAAGCAATGACCAGTGAGTTGTGTCCCAAAAAATAAAAATAAATAAAAATACACATTTTAGTTACCGTTTCCCTTGGAGGGCCATTATGACTGTCGAACCATATGAAGAAGTCAAGAATAATACTTGATTCAACTATTGTACTGTTTGAGGAACTATTGTATTGACTGTAATGAGGGGTTCGGTCACAAGAAAATGCTGACAATGTCCCTCTGATTTATTACGTAAGAGAATTTGAAATTTTGCCAGCAAGCCTCAATCATGGAAGTTGACATGTTTTGATTGACTTTTGCGGGGCCAAGTAAAATGATGTGGCGGGCCAGATCTGGCCCCCGGGCCTTGAGTTTGACACCGGTGGATTACAGAACACATTTCGACAACCATTCACACCTAAATCCCTTTAACCTAAACTGCCTGGGCTGAGATTCGACACAAAACCTCAGGATTGCGATGCAGACGTGCTAAACCAGGCAGCCCGACTATTTTTATGGCTCAAAAAGAAAATGGAAGACATGCCGCCTTCTTCAAAGTCCAAATGTCGACGCGTGACTTGTGAGGCGAGTAGGACGCAAAGGTCACTCCCAGCTTGAATGAGTTTGAAATTGTTCTCTTTTTAGGATGGCGGTGGGAAGTCTGTCCAGTGTATCCACGTGGAGCCCTGTGCAGGTATTGATGGAGCACAGCAGCTCAGACATCCTCATCCCCCTCAACGCCGCCACCCCGCAGCCAGGTATTGTACTCGCTTTCACTCTTCCGTGGAGACTTTCTGCAAGATTTTTTTTCAAAATGTGAAGTTTTTGTCCATTCATCTCAAACTGGGGGGTGGTCGCGCATGCTACATTCTGCCCGCTGTGTTCTTTAACGCTGCCCACCAAATATCATCAAGAATCCCTGGAGTATTTCTCAAAAATAACACAGCAATTTGAGTGGGCCACAAAAAAAAAAAAAGACATAGGAGGGCCGGATCTTACCGTCATTTCCGTCATGTTTCAGTCAACTCCGTGGAGGACTCGCCGGCCTTTCCTGCTCAGTCTGAGTCATCGGGGCCAGCGGGAGACTGCGATAGCCTCAGATCACGGCCGCATCTGAAGTAAGCATCTGCTCTGTTCTATATAGGCTTCTGCTATGGTGTGAAGACGACTCTCGTCACTTATTGTAATGGCACGTTGATTTGTTTCAGTATGGAGTCCAGTCCGCTGGTGCTGTCTGCTCCGTTCAGCGGCACACCGCCAACATCTGCTCTGCCAGAGTCCATGACAGTCGGTGAGCGTTCCAAGCCCCCACCCCCCATTCTTTCTATCAGTCTGCTCGTGCTCATCCCATCTGCCGTGCCAGTCAGCCTTCCGAGCGTAAAATCAGTGGCATAAATGTGTAGTTGTCAGCAGTGGAACCACAACTATGAAATCCCATTGCACCATTCCAGCCCTTCCTGAAAAACTTTTTTTTTTTATTATGTAGTAAAGAAAAACTGATTTTTATGAAGCAAAAAAATCACTGGCCAGGTTTACATGGGAGACTTTGTCATTCTGATTGAAATCATTGTGAATGAAGAGCTCTGGTCACCTGTTTGACATGTGCTATGATCGATTTCAATCTGGCGTCAATCTGCTCCACTACGTTAACTCATTCACTCCCAAAGACGTTTTTAAACGTCTTTTCAGATTTGGTCCAGAATTGGCTGGTACTGAATGAGTTAATTTGATCAGCCGTGTTACACCAGTGCGACACGCAGGCAGTTCATCCGTTTCGCACAGTCGTGATAGTCAACCCTTTTTTAACACAATTCTCTTATATGCGCCATTAACGCGCGTGGCCTAAAGGTTTCCTCAGGACCTGGAGGGGATTAGTTTTGTGTCAGCATCTTGCATAATATTAGCCTACAATGAGCTATATTTACCCAAACTGTTGACAAAATGGGTGTAAAATATTGGTGGGCCGTTTATGATGTCTGGATTATTTTCTGAACAATGTGTGTGAAATTATTATGCAAGAACAAATTATACCTAAAATATATTTTTTGAAATGTTTTCACAAGCATTTTTTTTTCTCTTCTTTTTCTGACACAAAGTTGAGTGAACGTCACGAGGAGGGGGAAGTAGCTCCCATATTACTAAGGCACCATTTTATCCACCTGGTGGCACTGTTGGTCCAGTGAATAGGCATCGACTTCAGCTCCGTTGCTTTCAAGGCATTCATGAGAGGAAATGTCAGTGCCTTTTGTGGCAGCTGTGAGATTGCATATGTTGGTGGTGCAGGAGGAAAAAAAAACAAGAATCCAAATGATTTGCTGAGCCATGTGTGGTCTGTGCCTGAGTTCCGATCACACCCAAGAGTCACCAAGTTCTCGGTTGACCAGAGTGAAATAAAAGGAGAACAGATGTATCTTCCTTTTTATCCTTACCTTAACCCACATACATACAAGTGTTCCTCAAAACAATTAGAATATCATGAAAAAGTGGGTTTGTTTCAGTAATACTGTTCAAAAAGTGCAGTTTGTGTAATGCCTACATTCATTCCACACAAACTGATACATTTCAAGTTCACGATCTCTGAAATTTTAAATACTTAAGACTGTGCAAAGAAAGGAGTTTTAGAAATGCTGGCGACCGAAAAATAAAATGTAAATATTGTGCTAACTCATTCAATGCCAAAGGCTTTTTTTTTTTTTTTTAAACACAACTTCAGGCATTCAATCCCGAGTACGTTATGTTTAAAAAAAAATGTTGTAGGGTGAAGAAGGGTCTGAAATTGTCTGGCCCAGAATTTATATGGTGTGGCAGCAACCACCACTGGGGTAGAAAAACGCAATGATGCACAGTCCACTTTACCTCACAATACTGCGACACATCATGACATTAAAATCCAGCATTGTTTGCTCGGATTTCCTTGTTGCTATGTAAGGAAGAGCCTGCCATGCTCACTTTGAAGCAGACAAAATAAAAAGAACAATCTCGAGTGGCGGTGGTTACATATCCCATTTTAAAAGACTGTTTAAATTGAAAGGACTGTTTAAGTATTTGGTCCAACGGAAGTGTTGATTTCCTCTCCCTCACAAACACATTTAATGTCAATGTCATTTGTAAAGCCCCTTATTGAGGACCGAGGGTTGTCTGGCTGTACTCAAGTCCCTGATGGCTCGTCTCTCGCACCCGCTGTGAACGCGTGGTCGTACTAAAGGTCACTTATTTCTAGCTTGTTGACGTCCATCTGTATAGGCTCCCCTCATGGCCGCTTTTTTTCCTTCTTTCCTCTCCTCCCCAAGCCAACAACCCGCGCATTGGCCCAGGGCTGCAAGGGGGACCTACTTGTATCTGGGGCGCCACGGATACCCTTCATTAGTTATGAGAACAAACTAGTGGTCTTTGTAATTTGTCACATACCAAAAAAAAAAAAAAAAGTACTGCGTTGTTAATTTATTTGTCTTGTGGTTATTTTGAGACATAAAAAAAAAAAATCGATATGAAAATAGATCTACCCGTTCAGGGTATCCCTCCGCCTCGTGCTCAACGTTAGCTGGGACAAACTCCAGCTCACTCGTGACCCTAATGAGAACACTTGTAGCAAATGGATAATAAGAATTGAAGAATAATAAGAAAACCTTTATTCATCTCACAATGGAGAAATTCCCAATTTACAGCAGTTAAGTTATGAGGAAAGTAGAAGAACAAAAAGCATTTACTCATTCACTCCCAAAGACGTTTTTAAACGTCTTTTCAGACTTGGTCGAGAATTGGCTGCTACTGAATGAATTTTTAATTGGACGCCATGATGTAAGGAACTTTGGAGCATTGCGATAAAGCATTCATACGCTAATATATTGAAAATAAAACTGGTGACGCAATCTCTTTTCAATTGTTTTCATGAGTTTGACTGATGCATTGACAAATAACATTTGTGACTATTTTATGAATCAAACTATCAATGTAAGTACTTAGGATGCTAATTCTTAACATGACCTGTGCTATGGGAATGACGCAACCCATGAGACAACATTTTTATTATGTTTTTTCCCTGCACACTGAGCAGAGCCACCGCTGGCAACTCAACTGGTTTCTACGCCGAATGTTAAATGACGTTTTCAACTGTACAGATGTTAAGTTGACGGCCAATCAAAAGGATTATACCACGAGACCAAAATTACCGCTGAGATGCTGCTCGTTGAAAATGAGCGGAAATGTGCAAAATCATCTTTGGACCTTTTAATAACCGCAAACATTATTTGATGAACCTAACAATATGACCTGTGTACTTTCATTGCTTCGAGCTCACCGTGTGGTGTCTTTGCAGCGGAGCTGCGACAGGCCATTGTGGCCATGATGAACAGGAAGGATGAGCTGGAGGAACAAAACGGGTACGTCGGGATGTATAGTCCCCTTATCTGCAGCTTACAAAGCCAAACGTGCACATGGATGCTCGCATGCACGCGCCATCGTGAAAGCCATTAGATAACCTTTTTCCTTTCATACGGTGCTCTTTTCCATCCACGGCGAAGCATTTTCATCCTCACTTTGCCACAAACTGATTAGCTTTACGTACTAGCGAGGCTTAACGCTAATTCCCCAGTTGCCAGGAAAAGACAACAAAACACTGCAAATCAGTTAATGTCTTTTCCGGACTCTAACTTCTTCCTTTCATAACTTTGCTGCTGTGAATTGGGAATTTCTCCATTGCGAGACTAATAAAGGTTTTCTTATCTTATCTTATCTTAAGTCGTTCCCGAGCATAAGTTGCACCAGCCATAAAATGCATAGTAAAGAAGAAAAACCATAAGTCGCACTGGAGTACAAGTCGCATTTTTTGGAGGAAAATTTGACAAAATCCAACAGCAAGAACTGATGTGTCATCTTGAAATGCAATTTAAAATAAACATAAAATCGAGAACAACAGGCCGAATAAGTGTACGACTTATTATGCTAACGGTAGATGACGCAACAACAGACGGTTCACGTAACATATTAACGGTTACTCAAATCACGATAGCATAAAGTAATCTGAACTGGATGGTCCAAAAGTTTTCGGCTGCATATTTTACTAGATGCAGCTTGTAATCTGCAGAATACGATTTTCTTTTCGGTGACATTTTTATTCAGCCCTTCTCAGTTGTTTTTAATTCAATACCGGCAGTATTTTAAATTTCTGACACTGTTGAAATCATCAATACAGGCCTAGAGCGCCCTCTTGCGGTTTAATGTGAAAACTTTGTGTCTGTACTTTTTTAAAAAAAAAAAGTTGTTTTGGACCTTATGGAATGTTTTATCATCTCAGACAGCAAACTGCTGCTGTGTGTACTACCATGTGACATGGATGGTCCATTTGGTGTTTTTGGCAGGTCTCTCCGTAGTCTGCTGGACGGGGAAATGGAGCATTCAGCGGGTCTGAGGCAGGAGATTGAACTGCTGAAGAAAAAGCTGGCTGAGCTGGAAGAGCGACACATGGCGAAAGTCCAAGCACTGGCCAGGTAACACACATGAGTGTTCTTAAATAGAAGGCTAACTGTACCCGGGCACTGACCAGGTCACGTTGTGTTCATAAATAACAAGACAAATCACCCACCTAATGAGTTTAAAGTATGAATACACGAGCTGAATTAAAAAAAAAAAATCACTGAAAATGTTTCCCAACGAGTCGTTCTGCATTGCCACTCCGCTGTAACGTCACAGCCAAAATGTTCAGAGGATATAAAAAGTCCACACACTCCTATTCCAATGCCAGGCTTTTGTGATCTTAACTCATTCACTCCCAAAGACGTTTTTAAACTTCTTTTCAGACTTGGTCCTGAATGAGTTAAAAATAGATTTTTTGGGGGATTGATTCCAGTAAGATGTTTGATTGGATTATTTTATGAATTGAGTTCAGCATTTGATGTTTTTGTTTTTTTTTTTTTCTCCCCATTTTGTTAAAAAAAAAAAAAAACTTTTGTGATGCTTCTTAGTGCAGCATTAGCGGTTAAAAATCCAAGTCACCCGCCTTTCTTGATCTGAGCGCAGACGACGACAGCACAAACCTTTGAGCAAGTTTTCTCAGGGAAATATTACAATTCTCACCTCATCATCAAGTAGTTGCCCTGTTGAAGTCCAACAAGCTTTAATGTCATTACTTCCACTAACATCTACCCACGTGAACCACCTTAAGCCCTTTTTCCTCTGCATTTCAAACACTGCGCCTGCGATATTAAGCGAGTGAATCACACACACTCCATCTTACATCAGCCCAAAAAGCCAAAGATCACAGCTGCTTAGCTACATAGACCCATGTACATTTCCTCTTCCACTCTTTTTAAGAGTCACGCTTTATTACGAGGTTTGGGATTTTTAATAGGCCTCAAGCCTGGATTGGAGATTTTGCTCGACAGTTGCTCCATCTTGAC